TAAATAAATTTATTTATTCATACTTGAATACGTTAATTTAAATCGCGAATATATACATACATAAAATAATTTATTATTATATTTTATGTTTTTTATTATAATGTATATATTTTTTATTATATGCACAATTTATCTTATATCAAATATTAATATATTTTTAATTCTCGTTTTTATATAAAAACATATAAAATCCATTTGACTGTATGTTATTTCTAGATCGCAATTTTTATGTAAATACATATTTTTCATATCATATGTTTTGCACATTTTACATAAATAATATAAATATGTTAAATACACTTTGATTCTTTTGATAGTAATTTTATGAAAATTATATGAAAATTGAATATTACAAATTATATTCTAAATAAAATAATATTTATTTTTTAAATAAAATAATTATTATAGATATAATATTGAAAATAGTTTATTAACAGAAAGACTAAGTGAATATATAGAGAGAAATTACATACATACATATATAGAGAAATTACATTTTGTCAGAAGATCTTTCTTTCTATTTAATTTTTTCAGATAAACAATCAAAAAAATTATTAAAAAAATCTTATAATATTATAATTTTATTTAAAATATTTATATATTTATTTTAACAAAAATATAAGATGATAAATAACACTTTTTATTTTCCAATTTTAAATACTGATATTCTTTAAATTATTTACTTTTTTCACTTTAAATACAAGATTTTTACTCATGTTTATTATTTATTTTTATCTGCTAAATGAAATATTTCGAGAAACCTACGAAACTATTTTCATAGATAAAAGCAAAACAACTTTGCTACATTCCAGACAAAGTACTTACTGAACACGTCTATACAATATAAATTAAATGGAACACATCATAACTCACCGACTATATAAATTTAAATCGAAGATCCGTTTTCCTTCAACTTTGATCAATCTAATCGATGAACCATTATCTGGTCCAATTGCAGTGGAAATAGCTTACTAAGCACATTCTTCTTTTGACAATTAAACATAATTTCTATTTAACTTTCTATAACAAATGATAAATTATATAGTTAAAATCGTAAAAAATACATTTTATTTAGAATACTTAGAATACTTCTATTTATAAAATATTCATAATA